GAAAATGCAGCTTTTAATTAGGTTTCCAAAATACCAAAAAACCCTAGAACCCAGGAAAAAACAACCCAGTATTGATATGGCCGGCTTACACTTCAAACCCCATTTCTGCCAAAAAAAAATAAATAAACTTTAAGTAAATATTAAGTGAGTTAGGCCATAGAAAAAGTAAAGCAATTGTACGAACACTTAAAACTAAATTTGATTGCACCAATTATTTATAAAAATAAATACATGTTTACAAATAATCATATATTATATCACGAGAACTATGAATTTAATCGGTTAAACTAGGCTCAGTAGTTTTTTGTTTGGTTTTTGTTGGAAAATGTTGAATGCAAAATAATTTAATAAAATCACGAGACCGCGTAGCGGTCGAGGGGTTTTATTTTTAATTATTTTGCATGAAACTATTTTCCAAAAAGAAAAATCAAATAAAAAACTTACTGAGCAAAGTTTGACAGATTAAATTTATAGGTTGAGTGATATACGTCTAGATTATTTCTCGAATTAAAGGAAACTATTTAACAATTCATAAAATCTGACGTATGTGTCAAAATTTATAAAAAAAATTTTAAAGAAAATTCCATTAATTTAAGGTATGTAATAACTTACTAATAAGTAATAATTGATATTTCGTAAACTAGATAACTTATTTTTTATTGTTTTTTAAAAAATGTTTGTTAAAACTTGTAAATAACACCATAAAATCGTAAACAAAAATCCAATATGGAGGCTAAAATTTAATCGTTGTTAAATAGGTCTAGTGATTTAATCGCTTATTTAAACGAAATTTATTCGAAAATTCAAGGCTTGGTTGATTGGTTCATATTATAATGAGGGAAATAATCAGAATAAAAAACATCTAGGTACTCTGAAAAAATATTTAATTTTTAGCAAAATTTGAGGTATGTGAATTTACAAGTAGTTACCTAAAATTTAAAAATTTATAGGACCATAGAAAATTTTTTTTACAAACCCAGCGAAGGTTTCACTATTAAATAGGTAAACTTTTAAGGTAAAAAAATCTATTTATTTTAATCTGTATCTGTTAAACCAGTTCCTAAATAAACAAATATGCGGTCTTTTATTTAGAATGATATTATTTACATATAATTAAATTATGCATGAAACTGTTCACAGCTTGGTTCACACTTTCCAACATTTCCAACGATCCAATTAGGCGTCCACTCTCATTAATTGTCTAAGATTCAAACTGTTAAAAAATACAAACAGTTAACTGTTTTTCCTTAAAAATACTTTAAAAGGAAAAGTTTAACCAAGTTTCCAAAATTTGTGTTACGATTTTAGTAATGGGTTTTTCTTAAAATTTAGTAAAATTTCAGTTAACACTTCTTTTACTCTTGAATACAAATTTGAAAGAAAAGGCCAAAAATGTAAATGTATCCAATTTAATTTGAGGATAAGACCGACACAATAGCGGTGCAATAAAATTAAAGCCAATAACTGTGGTAAAACGTTGTCGTTTTAGTGGTAAAGGGTGTCTCTAAGGTTCCTCCAGTAATAATAATAATTCGGTTGTTAGTTCTGCGTGAAAGGCCCACACAATACATTCAAATTCCGTGGATCTGCGTTTTGGACAATTTTCTCTCACCCTTTCTACTTCTTCGTCTGCTCAGCTGGGGACTTACATCTCGTTATGCAAAGTGTCTGTTTACAAGAATAACTTACGCATTTGTTTTGCCCATAACTTTTAGTCGTTTTGGCAGTTTCATTCGAAATGATGACGCTAAATGGCCCCACTACATTCATCCCACAGGCCGTTTCTAATCTTCTAATAGTCATCAAGTGATTTGCCAAATCGGGCGGCTTTTTATGTTACACACTTTTGAATTCTCTTAGTAGCAATAAAAGTTTTCGATGTCTTCCATCCTAAAACAGAAATAACCATTAAAAAATTGGAATTGTAATTGTATTAATATTGAGAAGTATATTTTCTGCTTTGTTAATCTCAATACATCAGGTCTGAAGATTTTTGAGGGTTTACCCTGTCTTAAATACAATTTAATTAAATTAAATTATGGTTTACGATAAATGTTAAAAACGTTTTTTGAAAAGGGGTTTCTTGTGGCACAGATGTAATATTGTGAGTGTCACGAATCCTGCACCGGCTGCAGGATACGACTAAGGGACAATGAATGAAAGGGAGAAATTACGTGCATTGAATTCCTGCAAAAGATATCTTGCAACTTACCGGCATGTTTCTTTGCAATATAAATGATAATTAGTATTTTACAATTAACCTAAAATAGTTGGTTCGGTAGCTTCAAAAAATAAAGCCGTTATCTTTATAATAATTATTGTTCAATTTTTTTAATTTTAAATACCTAAATAATTTTTTATTAAAAAGATTAACAAACCAATATAAATATTTAGTAGTATCTTAATTTAAATATTTTCACGATAAAAATTATTATCCGATACGATGTTTTTTTAACAGGAACTAGATTAAAAATTAAAAACTGTCACATGGTTATTAGTTATTTTAAAATTTAAATACATTATAATTTAAAAGCACTTTTAAGTCTTAACTTTTAACTGTACTTTTATTATTTAAAGTAAACTATGTTTAATTTTTTTGTGAATAATCATATTATATAATTTATTGCAAATGATTCTGTAATCATTGCTAAACATGCGTAGTAAATCATTTTCTGCGGAGACATGTAGTAATTTCGGTTTTTAAAGTGACCAAAGGCCTTGACAGCCTTAAAATTTATCGCTTTTGAAATTCGATTCCAGTCAAACCATGTGCAAGCCAGTGATTTATTTTAAACGAGATTTTTGCATGTTTACATGTTTCGCAATAAATTGCAAGCTCATTAACTGAAAACACTGGAAATATATGGAAACAAGTTTCAAAGCGAAATAAAAAATACCTATGTGGTAATGGTAATACCCTCTAATTCGTTTTTTAACCTTATACAGAGGATGTTTGCTTAAAGAAATGTATTAACAACCAAAATGCATTTAATGCATAAAATGAAACGCAAGTATTAATTTGCATTAATTATACTATTAAAACTGTAACAATACCTTATACATACAAAACTAATATAAAATTAACCTAACAATTAAACTATATGGTCATAAAAAAGGTTATATTTACGACACAGGCTTTGGCAAATGATAAGAACGCTCTTGATGAGCTACTATGTCAGTTTATTAACGATCCCCTTTGTCACCAACACAACAATACAGATAAAATACAACCCTGACTTAAGTTTAATATTTTGATAAAGATTTCTTGCACGCACAAAAGTTAAACTAGGTACTAAAGTTGCTATTTTTGATTGTGAACGCTTAAAATTATTTGGGTTTGAAATTTCTTGGCATTTTTAACTTTCAGGAATAGTAAATTATCTTTGTTTTTAAAACTAATTTTTTTTAGAGGAAATGCATGTTATTACTTGCATTTAAACAGAATATAAACACATTTTTGGTAGTATTCATGAACACAAAAAATCCTTAAATTCCATTGCGACCGGAGTTCGGTGCATCGGGCATAACGAGCAACATGGCGGACCCAACACTGGTTACCATGGAGACCGGCCCTTCGCGGCAGGGTTGCACCCCGCGTTGAGAGGGGAGGGCGAGCTTGAGGGTCGTAAATCACCTCCAGAACTCCGTAACGTCGCACAGAAGTGATTTACGGCCGCATTAGCCATTCGGCTACGATAATTAATGCAAAATGCCTGCTTAAGATCATCTTTGAACTGTCCTGGCACGAAATTTCACCATCGGGATTAGAAGTTTCCAAATCGAAACATGAGCTCTGGTGTGGAATATTTTATACAACATTTTCAATGGTTCTATTGCGTTTACACTGCTTTATATTTTTAACGTTTCCCATAGGTATACCGAAATTTGAAAAATATACCTGCGAATTGATCTTCTTTTACCTCTTGCGATATGTTTCCCATCCTTCAAGAAGATCAATTAGCAGGAATATTTTTAAAATTTCGGTTACAAATCCTTCCTGACCCTTTCTAAAATATACCGGATTTAGATCTGGGCTTCGTTGAGGCCAGTTCAAAAAGTTATATTTATATATTTCATGAGCTGTAAACTAAAGTGGTTTCTTTAAACTAATATATGTATACATTATAATAGTTGCAGTTTAAAATTCCATTTTTTAGAGACCCAAAAATCCAGACTCGCAATTTATTAAACGCCATCAGATTTAAATTTCAAATTATAATTGTTCAGCCACCCTCTTGTAATAATTTTCCGTTGCTCCCCGTTTCCTCCATGTTATTTGCAAGTCTCCCCCAAATTGGCGGAGCCTAATCCAGTTTTAATTTGAATATGACTGTAAATAATGGCTGTAGAATATTAGAATTTTATCCGGTAACGTTTTTGAAAATTCTGCACGCTTGTTGCAGCACTAAAATTAATCAAGCGTTATGAAGGGGTTTGGGTTTTATTGTCCATTTGCGGTGCCGTAAATTTATTTCATGAAATTTCTAACTAATTGGTTTATGCTTACTTTTATGTTATTAAGAATTACTCGCAAAGTATTATATTGTTTAATACATATATCTAGGTAATCTCTTTTTAGCATATATCAAGTTGCATTTAGTGTTGAATCAAATTTTATTGCTACGACCACTTAAAAATGTTTTATGACTATACATAAACAAAAATCCTTTTTTGTGTTCAAGAGAAAGTACATAACTGCATTTTCAAAAGGTGTTAAAAAAGGGTTTACAACGTTCCCTTAACAGGCCACTAAAAAGTCAACTTTCTATTTTATTATCTACGTTCTTAAAAAACTCTAAAAAGGGTTCAATTGTTCGAATTTCGAGAATCCGATTTCGAATTTTTTATTGCCTTGCTGGAAATTAGAAAGGGGTTTTGATAGAGAGATAGTTTAGGTATATTCTAGGTAAATTCCAAGAATTTAGTTTAATTTTTGGTTTTGGTATTAAAAATTTGTATGTTTTTAAATGTTTTTCTAAACATTTTGTAATTTGTTGTAGGTCCAAACGGATGTCCAAGACGACGAGGCAGACAAACCTACACGCGGTTTCAAACCCTCGAACTTGAAAAAGAATTCCATTTCAACCACTATTTGACACGTAGAAGGCGAATCGAGATCGCACACGCGTTGTGTCTAACGGAACGACAGATCAAAATCTGGTTCCAAAACAGACGAATGAAGCTGAAAAAAGAGTTGCGTGCCGTGAAGGAGATCAACGAACAAGCCCGACGGGAAAGGGAGGAACAGGAGAGACACAAGCAGCAACAGCAGGAGAAACAGCAAAAGATCGAACAACAAAGTCATTCCTCCATACACCAGCACATACACGATCCCATGAAGATTGGATTGGAGAAGAGTGGAAATTCTGATCTCATGAAAGCAGTCAGCAAAGTTCCGACATAAAAGCATCAAAGTTCTGCTGGCAGCATCTAAGACTAAGTATTTCGTGATGTGCGGCAAAAAAGTGTTAATAAATCAATTCGAACTCCTTATGGCGAGTTTTGGACCTTTACGTTTTTTTTTTAAACTGCGCGATCAAATTTGTTTGTGCAGTCCGTGGCTTCGTTATATTTTGTGTTTTGTTTGTTGTACATAATGGTAGTGTGTTCGTTCACGTTGATATTTTATACTTAAAAGTAATTTTATAGTATTTTTATTTAAGTTACGTTTTTATTACACGATCAGTTTTTTCTGATTTAAACTTTTCAACGTTTTGTTACGTGACATTGTTGTGATTAATTTTTATCCATTTGGTATTTTATTTATGCATATGGTATTTAAGTGAAGTTAATTTCAATAAATACCATACGCCCACGAGTTTTTATTTAGAACAAGTAGATGAATATGTAGTTGGTACTTTTCTGCAAACTCAAACACTTGTTCGTTAACCGTACTATAAAAGTCGCTAGTTTTTACTGTTTTCTGTTAAATTAAGTAGTTTTGTTTTTTATATATCTTTGTGCCAAGCTTTTTGAAGCAACCAGCCATAAAACAACTTAATTCAAAAGTTGACTATATTTTTTCATAGGACACTGATTTTTCTTGAATACAAAAAAAATTGATACAAAACGGCCGAGTTTTTAAACTCTTAGTACTATTATACGTAATTTGGTGTCAGGGTAGAGACCTACAAATAACATTTTAGTAGTAAAAAGCAAAATTAACTTCCTAGTAATAAAATACATAATATGCGAAAATTTCTTCTATCATAATAAAATAGCTATTATTGTATCTCCCTCGTCTATCTGTAAAATATTTTCTTAGACTATTCGATGTTGTTTTTGCGTGTGAAACTATGTAATAGTTAAATTGGACTTTCGGGTCTTCTCCACAATTAGATACGTAAACTTGTACAATATTTTTCAAAAATAAAAATCACAAATTGTAAATGATGTTATGTAAATTTTTTTGTTTGATATGTAAAAATAAACATGTATACGCGAATTTTGTTGATTCTTCGTAGCCGCTACGCTATTCCTATATTGACAAAAAACAACAGCTTTTATAAATTTCATTAGTTTTTTTTTGGAAATTCTACAGTTTTCGTATATTTACATAATATGTAAATTATACACGTTCGGTAGGCCAAACTAACTGGGAGTTTTTTTATTAGCTTGGTTACAATGACAATTGACGCGTTTCTTTTTGTTTTATTTTTTACGAAGTTGGTATCTCATCTCATTTTAGAATAATAGAATATTTTCCGATTGCGATTCTGAAAATAAAACTTAAATTTAAGAAGTCTAGTATTTCGAAAAAAAGAACACTACGATCACCAAGCTTTCCATAAAATTCTGTAAAAAAAATTGACACATCTTACCAAAGAAAAGACAGATGACCTAACCTCAAATTCAAAGACCCTTTTGGATCTCACACCTCAGAAAATTAAAGAATGAAAAGCACGCATCACACAGCAAAAGTAACTAGGGAACCAGAATCTGGTTTGGGCTACCGAACGTGAATGGATATTATATTTCCTTTCCGCAGACTGTCATGGTCAAATTAGGGTTTCGTCGCTTGGTGATAAAAAGTCGTTGACTTCAAAACTACCAAATGATCATTTAAAAGTATATTTGGTTACTTGAATTTAGTAAGTTTTTTTCAGTAAATTTTTGTACACATGTCTAATGAAAAACCCCGGGCTGCTTATGTTTGTTAACATATTTTCAGCAATTTTGAATCTTTCTGAATATCCTCAACATTTTACTAAATTTTGAGTTATATAGGATGATTGATATATTCGTAAGTAATATCATAAGAGCATTTAATTTTTCCGAAAAGAATCGAAAAAACACGTTGCTAAGTAATATTTTAACAAAAAGCATGAGTGCTGGTGGCAACAAAAATCCGAGTCGAAGAGGAGGATTTTTGCACCTGCACGAATGCATTTTGTTAAAAAATATTACTTAGCATTGTGTTTTTTCGATTTTTTTCAAAGGAAAAATTAGATGCCCGAATGGTATTTGACAAGACTATTTCATGAGTAACAGTTAACAATTAAAATATAAATTGCAATTTTTGGTGACAGCAGCTGTCAAGTTTTGCCGCGGGTAAACTCGAATAAACTGCTGACAGGTGCTGTCACACAGTTTTTTCACCTAGAAACCATTTGTAATTCAAAATTGCGTGTTTGTGATTGGTGGAAATTAAGACGAGGGAAATAGTCATTTTAATAATTTTAGATAAGTTGATGTGTACAAAATTTTACTTAAAACAAATTAAATCCTGTCAATTATTGAAACCTTGAGTTAATGATGCACCAAACTCTTCAATTTGCATTTCCAAATTTTAATTATTACTACTGTGCGATATTTTAGAAGTTATTTACCAGACCAAGAGCCTTTAATACCTAGTATAATATTTATGTGTCCATAGAAACTCGTATCCATTTAAAGGATTTCTTGTTCTAGTAACGGCTAAAATACAATTTGCATTTAGCGCCTTTTATCATTTTATATAGTATGTTGTAAAAATAATTGGGCTATTAAAATTTTGATTTCACCTCACATGATATTATTAATATTGTACAGATTATATGTGTATATATTAGTTAGGCTGTAGACGTATTATTATATTTAATTCCCCATAAATATTCGAGCAACATTGGACTGATTAATGCTTTTAAGATACAAAATCTTGATAGACGTAGTCTTACAGTTTAGAAAGCAGTACATTTTAGTACCCATTTAACTTGCCGTTATTTAATTTATTCCTTTTTTGTTTGCATACTATTCCGGCCTCCCTGTACAAATAACATTTCTGTTTAAACAGTTTTCATGCACGTTTTACAAAGTTGAACAGACGCCAATTCATTTCGTACATTTTAATGAAAATTTATTTTAAGTGCTGGGCCGTGAGAGAACGTACTTACATGTAATGAAATTAGTTGTACTGTTTAACATTGTAAAACGAATTACAGCTCTCTTTAGCCTGTGATAGATATAAAAAATAAATAAAATTATAGTTTTGATCAGGTATTTATTATAAACTGATTTCGCATTGATTTTGAGGGATGTTTATACTATAGTAGTGCAATAACTGACTGGTATGATTTATGTTTGTTAAAATATTTATTAGTTTAGTTTCGGAAAAGTGTGCAATGTCTTATCGTTTTTAATTAAAAAATAAAACGATTCAGAGCATGAATTTGGTACAATCGTTGTTAAGTTTTTGTTTAAACCCTCTCAATTAATGCGAAAACAGTTACTGCAGCTTTGATGTCGTAAAACTAACTTTACGGTGAAAGTCACTGGTAAAGTTGACCGTCGATATCAAAGCGTGTTTTTTGTATTATGTTTTGTTTGTGAAATTAATTATCATATCATTTAATCACAGTATATTTGTAATTAAATTAATAAAAGTCTGTAATTATTCGTATTTTAAGAAAAAAATGTTTATAATATCGTAAGTAGTATAAGTGTACGTTACGTACTTGTATGATGTAGACGTTCTACTTCATACCCTGCTCTCAAAAGCCGAATTATTCTTGAATGTACTATAATAAACAGTTTACTGTACATGCTATATCTATATATAGTGTATCGTTTGCTTTGATGCCATGTTTCTTATAATAACTGTATAACCTTATTATAATGTAATGTACAGATTGTCTGAACTGAATAAATATTTCTTTGGAAAAATACATCCCACATATTTGATTTCCTATATATCCTTATACAACTTCCAAATTAGGTAAGTAACAAAAAAATAATCCATTTATAAATCATCATAAAAAAGTATTAAACCGAATTGGTACTGATGGGCTTATGGCTTATTGCCCTATAGCGGGCATCTATCAAATAAAGTCAATGTAAAAAGCCTGTAAATTTTGTAATATTCGAATGTATAATGAAAAGTGGGTATAACAATATGTTCCAGGCATATAACACACACATTCTTTCGGTTTTCTTTCCGCTTTACTACATAATAAGGCCCCTTTTACTGGCCTGTATGGCTCGTACAGATCGTGTCTGGATGGCAACCTCCCTTCAACACACGGCCATGCGAATAAGCTGGGATAACGAAAATTGCCCTAAATTTTGAACGCCCCATCTCTCTTTATTGTGGTTTATAAAGGAAAATTTGCCTATATACCTACAAATTTATTATTATTTTTATTTGTTAAAATATTACCTATAGATTTAGAAATATTTAGAATGTTTGTAATATTTACATATAGGAAAAAATAAAATGTTAAATTTAGTAAAAATATACTTTTTATTATTTAATTGTAGTTTTTTAATAGGTAGGTATATAATAATAAAGGTATATATGATAATATTATTATTTACAAAACAATAGTCAATTAAGGTTGCAAAAATTTTATTTTGCGCAGAATTGGTCTTAGGCACTGACCAAGGTACTTATAAACTCGTATTATTAAATTTTATCTTTAAGCGTTCTATAATTTAAACTTTATTATTATCAACACTCACTATTTAAGTGATTGCGTATCGCCTAGACAATAAAAATAATTTTGACCAATCGAGTGTTTTTTTACCTCCTAGTCTGTAAAAACCCGTTTGGACCATTAAAAAATCTTACCAAATTGTGCATTAAATATAAAATTTTATGACATTCGAATGAAAAGTGTATTTTTCTGCTTCGTTGAAACTTTGAGTTAACAAAAAAGACTTACTTTTCAGCCTAATGACATAAATAACTACTTATGCTTTCATATAAATAAAAATCGCTCGGGCAAATTTAACGCACACCCATTATTGATTGGTGCTGTATCCTTGGTCAGAATTTTTGAATGGACCCTGTATACCAACAAATACAATTTATAATTGTTTGTAAAAATATAATGAGTAGATACGTGATTATCTTTAATGTTTAGAAATACGTTTGTACATGTCTCTAATAACTTTAATTTTCAACAAATGTAAGAGAAAATGGTCCAGAACATTGAACCAGATATTGGTCTTTTCAGTATATTTCTACCTATGACAAAATGTCGCAAACTCAAGAACTCGTAAGTAAGTACAGAAATTATAAACGCTTGAAATAAATAGTATATGTGTACAACACGGCGAAGAAAGCATCTCAGTCTCGGCTAGCTCATTGGAAGCGAACACTGAGCTCGGCTATAATATA